ATCTATCTATCTATCTATCTGTCTGTCTGTCTGTCTGTCTGTCTGTCTGTCTATCTATCTATCTATCTGTCTGTCTGTCTGTCTGTCTGTCTGTCTGTCTGTCTCTGTCTACTGTATCTATCTGTCTGTCCGTCTATCTATCTATCTGTCTGTCTGTCTGTCTGTCTATCTATCTATCTGTCTATCTATCTGTCTGTCTGTCTGTCTGTCTATCTATCATCTGTCTGTCCGTCCATCCATCTATCTATCTGTCTGTCTCTATCTATCTATCTATCTATCTATCTATCTATCTATCTATCTATCTCTCTATCTCTCTGTCTGTCTGTCTGTCTGTCTATCTGTCTGTCTATCATCTGTCTATCCATCTATCCGTCCGTCTGTCGGTCCATCCATCCATCTATCTATCTATCTATCTATCTATCTATCTATCTATCTATCTATCTATCTATCTATCTATCTATCTATCTATCTATCTATCTATCTATCTATCTATCTATCTATCTATCTATCTGTCTGTCTGTCTGTCTGTCTGTCTACTGTATCTATCTGTCTATCTATCTACTCATCTCTTCCGTGAGCACTTCATCATCATCATCATTAAAAAAAAGTCTATGCTTTCACTTTCTTTAATCCCTCCCTACCCTATCTTATGCTACTCTAAGCAATGTCTGAAACATATGAAGATCTGCTTCCTGTATATTAATCTTTAAAGCTTCTGTTTTGTGGCAGGTCTCAGTATCCGTGGCAGTCCCGATGAAGACCCTCCGGACCCTCAGCTCATGCGTCTGGATAACATGCTCCTAGCAGAGGGCGTGTCTGGGCCAGAGAAAGGGGGCGGGGGATCAGCGGTTGCTGCGGCAACAGCAGCGGTGGGAGTCGGGGCCGACAACTCCATCGAGCACTCGGACTACAGAGCAAAACTCACTCAGATCAGACAGATCTACCACACCGAGCTGGAGAAATACGAGCAGGTCTGCAACATCACGGTAGAATGAATGCAACCTGCACACCAGTGCTTATACAGAAACATGAGTAATCACACATCCTAGCGCTGCTCGCTGGGAAACTAGCTGTCACTACACAGATAAACTACTACCATTCTAGGGAACAACATAGTTACTATCTCATGCAATGAACACATTCACACGATCATAATGAGCAGTGTTATTTGATGTACTGTTATAGTTTGTATGCATTTTTTGTTAACTTTTTTTATTTTTTATATTTTCAGTTTTTATTTAATTTGAGCTCAATTTATAGTTGTTTTTAAAATATATTCATTTATAAATTAATTTAATGTTTATGTCAGATTTAGTTTTAGTTAAGTTTTTGATGTATTTTAATTAATATTATGAGTTTTATGGTAACTCTTTACAATAAGGTCTCATTAGTTAATGCATTAGTTAACATGAACTAACTATGAGAAATATATTTTACATGATTTATTTACCTTTGTTAATGTTTGTTGATAGAAATAATCATTCATGTTCACAGTTCACTAACTAATGTTAACAGATACAACTTTTGATTTTAATAATGTATTAGTAAATGTTGAGATTGACATTAACAAAGATTAATAAATGCTGTAGAAGTATTGCTCATTATATTTCATGTTAAGTAATATAGTTAACTAATGTTAACAAATGAAACCTTATAAAGTGCTAAACCTTGTAAAGTGTTGTTAAACCTTGTAAAGTGCTACCAGTTTGGTTTATTTTTTGGTTATGAGTAATTTGATTGGGTCACTGGCGTGCAACATGTTTTCATTTTATATTTACTTTATTTTTCAGCAAATATTTTTTAAATATATTTATTTATTTTATTGTTACGTTTTCTATTTATTTTAATTTATATAATTGTTTTGTATTGTTAGTTAAAATTTCCACCCCAGATTTTAGTGCTTAGAATAATAGTTAGTTGCCAAGGTGTCATTTTAAAATTTTTCATCTAATATTTATTTAAAACAATTTATTTATTTATTTTATATGTATTATTTTTTTTTATTTTTTTGTTTTATATATTTCCAGATACTAATTTTAGTGCTTCAACTCAGTGCTTTTCATCTAATATTTATAATAAATTTTTATTTCAGCTTTATTTCAATAAACAGAAATGAATTTGCTTTCACCATCAGTTATGAGTCATTTGATTGGTTCACACAGGCGTGCAACGAGTTCACTACTCATGTGATGAACCTGTTGAGGGAACAGTCTCGCACGCGACCCATCTCACCCAAAGAGATCGAGCGCATGGTGAACATCATCCACCGCAAGTTCAGCTCCATCCAGATGCAGCTGAAGCAGAGCACCTGTGAGGCCGTGATGATCCTCAGGTCACGCTTCCTCGACGCCAGGTCAGAAACTCACGCACGTTTCCTTTCATGCATTTGGCAGATGCTTTTAGTTTCATCCAAAACAACTTGCAGAACATTTAATGTATATGCATTTGTCCAGCGTACTGTATCTTCTTATTTGAATGAGGTGCAATCCATAATACACCTCATTTACCCATAGAAAAGGTTGTGTAGAAAGGCACGGAAAATGAATAACACATTCTACGGAGCCACGAAAGGGACGTGGTTAGGCTTGCTGCCGTACTCGGTTACATTACAGTCCATCAGATTTCACTTACCACATGAAGATACTGTAGGAAGGAGAGATGATTGACAGCACGACGATGGAGGATTTGGTGCGCAACAGATGTATGCATATGTGTGTGTATATGTATATAAAGTGTACACACACATACATTATTATATATATACTGTATATATATACACACACACACATATACACTCACCTAAAGGATTATTAGGAACACCTGTTCAATTTCTCATTAATGCAATTATCTAATCAACCAATCACATGGCAGTTGCTTCAATGCATTTAGGGGTGTGGTCCTGGTCAAGACAATCTCCTGAACTCCAAACTGAATGTCAGAATGAGAAAGAAAGGTGATTTAAGCAATTTAGAGCGTGGCATGGTTGTTGGTGCCAGACGGGCCGGTCTGAGTATTTCACAATCTGCTCAGTTACTGGGATTTTCACGCACAACCATTTCTAGGGTTTACAAAGAATGGTGTGAAAAGGGAAAAACATCCAGTATGCGGCAGTCCTATGTGGCAAAAATGCCTTGTTGATGCTAGAGGTCAGAGGAGAATGGGCCGACTGATTCAAGCTGATAGAAGAGCAACTTTGACTGAAATAACCACTCTTTACAACCGAGGTATGCAGCAAAGCATTTGTGAAGCCACAACACGCACAACCTTGAGGCGGATGGGCTACAACAGCAGAAGACCCCACCGGGTACCACTCATCTCCACTACAAATAGGAAAAAGAGGCTACAATTTGCAAGAGCTCACCAAAATTGGACAGTTGAAGACTGGAAAAATGTTGCCTGGTCTGATGAGTCTCGATTTCTGTTGAAACATTCAGACGGTAGAGTCAGAATTTGGCGTAAACAGAATGAGAACATGGATCCATCATGCCTTGTTACCACTGTGCAGGCTGGTGGTGGTGGTGTAATGGTGTGGGGGATGTTTTCTTGGCACACTTTAGGCCCCTTAGTGCCAATTGGGCATCGTTTAAATGCCACGGCCTACCTGAGCATTGTTTCTGACCATGTCCATCTCTTTATGGCCACCATGTACCCATCCTCTGATGGCTACTTCCAGCAGGATAATGCACCATGTCACAAAGCTCGAATCATTTCAAATTGGTTTCTTGAACATGACAATGAGTTCACTGTACTAAAATGGCCCCCACAGTCACCAGATCTCAACCCAATAGAGCATCTTTGGGATGTGGTGGAACGGGAGCTTCGTGCCCTGGATGTGCATCCCACAAATCTCCATCAACTGCAAGATGCTATCCTATCAATATGGCCAACATTTCTAAAGAATGCTTTCAGCACCTTGTTGAATCAATACCACGTAGAATTAAGGCAGTTCTGAAGGCGAAAGGGGGTCAAACACAGTATTGGTATGGTGTTCCTAATAATCCTTTAGGTGAGTGTATATTATATATAAACACAAACTTTTATGTTAGATGAAATTAATTGAAACATACACTCACCGGCCACTTTATTAGGTACCCCATGCTAGTAACGGGTTGGACCCCCTTTTGCCTTCAGAACTGCCTCAATTCTTCGTGGCATAGATTCAACAAGGTGCTGGAAGCATTCCTCAGGGAGTTTGGTCCATATTGACATGATGGCATCACACAGTTGCCGCAGATTTGTCGGCTGCACATCCATGATGCGAATCTCCCGTTCCACCACATCCCAAAGATGCTCTATTGGGTTGAGATCTGGTGACTGTGGAGGCCATTTTAGTACAGTGAACTCATTGTCATGTTCAAGAAACCAATTTGAAATGATTAGAGCTTTGTGACATGGTGGAAGTAGCCATCAGAGGATGGGTACATGGTGGCCATAAAGGGATGGACATGGTCAGAAACAATGCTCAGGTAGGCCGTGGCATTTAAACGATGCCCAATTGGCACTAAGGGGCCTAAAGTGTGCCAGGAAAACATCCCCCACACCATTACACCACCACCACCAGCCTGCACAGTGGTAACAAGGCATGATGGTTCCATGTTCTCATTCTGTTTACGCCAAATTCTGACTCTACCATCTGAATGTCTCAACAGAAATCGAGACTCATCAGACCAGGCAACATTTTTCCAGTCTTCAACTGTTCAATTTTGGTGAGCTCTTGCAAATTGTAGCCTCTTTTTCCTATTTGTAGTGGAGATGAGTGGTACCCGGTGGAGTCTTCTGCTGTTGTAGCCCATCCGCCTCAAGGTTGTGCGTGTTGTGGCTTCACAAATGCTTTGCTGCATACCTCGGTTGTAACGAGTGGTTATTTCAGTCACTGTTGCCCTTCTATCAGCTCGAACCAGTCTGGCCATTCTCCTCTGACCTCTGGCATCAACAAGGCATTTCCGCCCACAGAACTGCCGCTCACTGGATGTTTTTTCTTTTTCGGACCATTCTCTGTAAACCCTAGAGATGGTTGTGCGTGAAAATCCCAGTAGATTAGCAGTTTCTGAAATACTCAGACCAGCCCTTCTGGCACCAACAATCATGCCACGTTCAAAGCCACTCAAATCAACTTTCTTCCCCATACTGATGCTCGGTTTGAACTGCAGGAGATTGTCTTGACCATGTCTACATGCCTAAATGCACTGAGTTGCCGCCATGTGATTGGCTGCTTAGAAATTAAGTGTTAACGAGCAGTTGGACAGGTGTACCTAATAAAGTGGCCGGTGAGTGTATTTTTTCCTCCAGTCTCATATTTTTTCCATCAGCATGTCCCTTTTCGGGCTCGGGCACATCAGTGTAGATAATGCTTGGATTACTGATGGTTAGTGAATGAGCCCTAGGTTTTTGCTCTAAAATACAAAGCACAAAACTGGTTAGAAAATTCAAACATCATTTTGCCCCTGAGAGACTGTCCTACTTATAATGCACTGTAAAAAATAAGCATTTGCTTAGTAAAGAAAAATGATTATTGGTTGTGTGTCTGTTTTTACACATGTAGGTGTTTTTGCTAGTGTGGGTTTGTTTCTCGTTGTATTGGATGTGCTGAAAGCGTGGCATGTGTGAACGAGTGGGTGATGTGGTAATGTTAAGGTCTTGTGAATCCACTGGAGTATTTTGCTTAAACTGGCAGAGGGATGAGTTGGGTGGGCGCAGGACATTTGCCAATTAGTTCCAGTTGGTTGGTCCAGTTATTTAAAGCTAAGAGTAAATTATGCATAAATCTGCTCGTCAGAGAATTATTCAAATGCATGCAAATGAAGCAGACAGCGATTGGTGGGCTCATTGATGACATCATACAACTAAGCATTTAAATATCATCTAATAAGAGATATTATTGGTAGATACAGAGTGACGACTGATATTTATATGCATTTTGTGTAAATATCTGCTATACTTTTATAAAGATCTCATTGATTTACATTACAGAATTTCATCTTACTTTTTGGCCATATAAATATCAGCATCTGCACCAAATTGCATATTTTGCTCAGTTTGGACCTCTAAATAAAATTGAGGGTGTTTTTTGCTCCTCAAGTATGAGATCCATGTTCTCACTATATCATCTGAGCCATAAAAGCCTGATGTATCAAATATGATATTCAACAAAATAACACATGCAAACTTTGTTCTTTAGATTTTCCATTTGAAAAAAATAAATTGTTTTGGGCCACATCAGGGACTTATAACTTTAGTCCCATTAATATATACTACATTCAATAATACATACTTTATGCATTATGGTGTAGTTACAGCATAGACCAGCAGGGGGTCATTCGAGCATGATAACCAGCTAAACCTTTGAAAACAATGATTATTTGTGAAATTCTGTGGTGTTGCTAGTGAATATCACACTTTAATAATCTTTAGTATATAAAGATATAGAAATGGTTCAGGACATAACAATACCACTGATTTATTTTTTCCATTTTATACTTCTCCAGGAGGAAAAGGCGCAACTTTAGCAAGCAGGCGACAGAGATTTTGAATGAGTATTTCTACTCTCACCTCAGTAACCCGTATCCCAGCGAGGAGGCGAAAGAGGAGCTGGCGAAGAAGTGTGCCATCACAGTGTCGCAGGTGAGTCCAGTTCTCAGACGATAGTGCGCACACGAGCCTTCAGCTGCGAAACAAGAGGAGATTTTATTCACAATCTGAGCAAAATCACTAACAAATTTGCTAGCGGTGGTCTGTGACACTGTGAAGGTGCAGAGAATTTGGCTCAAAATACAAGTGAAGGAGCAGAGCAAAGCGGTCTAGTGACATCTCTGGGCGTGATTTAGAGTGAGCGCACAGTTTTCTCCAGCATGGATCCTGGAAGTATTTTTCCCTTTTTTTTTCTTAATAAAAAAACATCTAAATAAAGTTTAAATAGAGTTTAGTAGAGTTTAAAGAGAAGGTCTGTTTTTGAAAATGTACTGTTCTAAGTTATAAAACCATAAAGAATTGCAAACGATTTGGTCCAAGTTTATATTAGGTGTCTTTAGTCAAGTCAAGTCAGCTTTATTTCTATAGCGCTTCATACTTTACAGATTGTTTCAACGCAGCTTTACAGTGATAACAGGAAAATGATTCAATGATGCAAACGGTTCATTTTGGTTGTATAGCAGCTCTAAAAGAAAAGTGTTCTTCAGCTGAAGTCAGTTCAGTGTTGATTCAGTTCCGTTGTAAATATCAGCAATTATTAATAGTTAATTTCATCTATAAAGCAGTTCTGGAGGAAAAACAGTGATGTCGTCATCCAGTACAGTCAGATCAATAATATTGTTGATTATTAAAGGGGTGGTTCAGGATTTTGGACATCGGGCCTCAATTCCATGTTAGCCTGGGTGTTATTTATCAGTGGAGACAGTTTTCAAAAAATGTCATCCAGTCATTCCAGTTGCATAGTTCGCCGGTGCTAGGCTAGCGCGAGTCAATGGTAACTGCTAGCCTGCCATTAAAAACAGTGTTACCCACTCCACAGTACACCAAAAGCAAATAAATTTTAACGCCAGACTATCGATGTAAATGTCTGTTAAGAGAATAATGTTAAAAATCAAACTACTCTTGCATCTCAATGATCGCAATACATTTACAGGAACTAGTTTCTCAGCAGCGGCGGAACTTTACTTTGCTCCGGTTAGTAGTACTGCGCCGAAAATTAAACACAGAACCGAAGCGCACTACAGTCGGGACTACCTGCACTACCTCTCTCTCTCACTACCTCTCTCTACCTCTCTCTCTCTCTCTCTCTCTCCTCTCTCTCTCTCTCTCTCTCTCTCTCTCTCTCTCTCTCTCTCTCTCTCTCTCTCATCTCTCTCTCTCTCTCTCTCTCTCTCTCTCTCTCTCTCTCTCTCTCTCTCTCTCTCTCTCTCTCTCTCTCTCTCTCTCTCTCTCTCTCTCTCTCTCTCTCTCTCTCTCTCTCTCTCTCTCTCTCTCTCTCTCTCTCTCTCTCTCTCTCTCTCTCTCTCTCTCTCTCTCTCTCTCTCTCTCTCTCACTACCTCTCTCTCTCACTACCTCTCTCTCTCACTACCTCTCTCGGTTGCCTAGGTAACTACATATCACTCCACCGCTGCTGTAGACTGTGCTAATAAATACAGGGAACAAAGTATAACTATTGCAATGTAATGAAAGGGTAGTTTGATTTCTAACATTATTCTCTTAACAGACATTTACATCGATAGTCTGGCGTTATAATTTATTTGCTTTTGGTGTACTGTGGAGTGGGTAAAACTGTTTTAATGGCAGGCTAGCAGTTACCGTTGACTCGCGCTAGCCTAGCACCGGCGAACTATGCAACTGGAATGACTGGATGAAATTTTTGAAAACTGTCTCCACTGATAAATAACACTAAGGCTAACATGGAATTGAGGCCCGATGTCCAAAATCCTGAACCACCCCTTTAAGTGTCCGCAACCAAGCAAGCCCGAGGATACAGTGGCAAGGAACCCAAACTTCATCAGGTGACAGAAATGGAGAAAAAAACTTGGTAGAAATCAGGATCAGTCGGCCAGTTCTCCTCTGGCCAACGAACGATCATAGTGTGATTATGATTCAGGCAGCATCACGAGTCAGCATTCAGATCGGAACCGGTCAAATATTCCATCCAGTTCCCTTTGCTTGAAGATCGCATTCATCACGCCAGTATTGAGATGAAGCTGGTCATAGGGTCTGTGCTGAGGATCTGTGCCGATGTCTGTCGTGTCGATGAGGCCTTCACAGGGGAGACCGAGAGTCTAGTTGAAAAGATCTCTGCTGACTTTCAGGGCTGAGTTGTGGCGCGTCTAGTCCTAGTCCAGGTCCTCCATCTGATCTGGATCCGGATCCGGCTGACTACGGTGACCTCGGGATAAGGATGAGACAGACAGGCTAATATTAGCGTAGAAGCCATTCTTCTTATGATGTAACGAGTACATCAGGTGTTATAGAAGCGTTCCCGGTTCCGGCTGACCTAATTTATGCAGCCTAACAATCCTTTAATGGAAGTGGATTATAGAAATGTGATAATGTGTTATGTGTATGCCAGGTTAAAGAGATGTGTTTTTAGTCTAGATTTGATTTTGTCGATTTTGATATTCTAGGTATTATCAACTGGCCTGAACTTTGAGATCGCAATAGACGTGAAGGACTATAATGCGTTAAGAGCTCGCTCAAGTACTGGGGAGCTAAACCATTTAGTGCTTTGTAAGTAATTAGCAAGATTTTAAAATGTATGCGATGTTTAATTGGGAGCCAATGCAGTGTTGACAGAACCGGGCTAATATGGTCATACTTCCTGGTTCTAGTAAGAACGTTTTGGACCAGCTGGAGTTTGTTTATTATGCGTGCAGGGCAACCACCCATAAGAGCATTACAATAATCTAGCCTTGAGGTCATGAACGCATGAACTAACTGTTATGCGTTTGTCATTGTAATTTAGATATATTTTTAAGATGGAAAAATGCGGTTTTGCTAGATGCTAGAAATGTGGCTTTCAACTGAAAGATTGGTATCAAAGAGACACCCAGGTTCCTAACTGAAGACGAAAGTGGTCACATGGTACAAGTAGGAGCTCTCAGAAAATTCCCAGATTACAAATTGTTTTGTTTTTTGACAAATTTTTACAAGTTGAAATCTCGTAGCGACATCATGGCGTGAATGCATCTTTACTTCAAATGTTAGTACATACTAGTAGATAAAGACACTTTAATATAAAGTGGGACCAACAATTCAATCTTTTCAATTGGTTGTTGTGTCTAATCTAATCAGAAAAGACAATTACTGACTGACTTTAATGCACTAATTTCCCATTTTAACTAACGTTAAGTAGGTAGCTAGTTAGTCTCAGACTCAGCACGTAAACCTTAGCAGCAAGTAAACTATATAGGTATCTATGTGCAGAATTGGATATTCCATTCTGTTTACTGAACTAGTCAATAATCATTACTTTTGGACACAGAATCCAAATAATAAAATCTATTTACGCTAATTTTTCAGATGAATCCACCCCTAAAATGACACATAAATGAACCGAATTTTAGTTGCATGAGACTGGTAGACCGTGTTATTTTTTTATTATTTATGTACTATTACAGTTTCCATTTATGGAAGATTGTTTCCGCTGCAGAATAAAACAATTTATTAGATAATTGTGACTTTTCATCTCACAATTCTGACTTTTTCCCCCTACAATTGTGAGAAAAAAAGATGCAAACTCGCAATAGTGAGAAAAAAAGTCAGAATTGTGAGATAAAAAGTATAACCTTTAACCTTTTTATTTTTTACTCGGTGGCGGAAACAAGCCTCCATATCCATTCATATTTTAAGATATTTTGTATTTTTACATTTTCAGTTTTCAATTTTAGTTAAATTCTTAGTAATTTTATAATTTTATTCATTTTTGTTTTAAAAAAAATATTTTTCATTTTTAGGTTATTTCAGTTTGTAATTTTAGTACTTAAACCTAACTGCATTTAATTTTCATTTAGTTTAACTTAAGTTCTAATCTTATATTTATTTCTTACTTTTTAATAGTTTTAGGTCAAGTTGTTACTTCAGGATTGTGGGTAATGTAGTTCTTTACAGGAAATTCTGCAATTAAAAACAATATTAAGTAGGAATCACACTGACACAGAAGAACTGATTGAATTTTTTTTTTAAATTGTAAATAAAGATTATGTATGTTTTCAGTCTTTCTACTTCTAAATTTCATGTTTAAATCAATGTGTTCCTTGCAGTCTCTTTGTAATTATATCTGAAATTTACTAGCAATTGTTTCAAAGTAAATTCTACACCAAATTTATTTTCAGCGTAGAATCCTATAACACCCTCAGTTTATACATTATCTCTCTGAATGGCATTCTTACTTCCAGAGGCCGACTTTTGCTCTCAAATGAACTTAAAGGGTTAGTTCACCCAAAAATGAAAATTATGTCCTCATGTCGTCCCAAGCCCGTCAGACCTCCGTTCATCTTCGGAACACAGTTTAAGATATTTTAGATTTAGTCCGAGAGCTTTCTGTCCCTCCATTGAAAATGTATGTACGGTATACTGTCCTTGTCCAGAAAGGAAATAAAGACATCATCAAAGTAGTCCATGTGACATCAGTGGGTTAGTTAGAATGTTTTGAAGCATCGAAAATACATTTTGGTCCAAAAATAAGAAAAACTACGACTTTATTCAGCATTGTATTGTCTTCCGGTTCTGTTGTGGATCCGCGTTCAGTGCCGCTGCTGACGTGTGTCTGGTGTGTGTGTGTGTGTGTGTGTGTGTATTCTGGTTCTGTTGTGGATCCGCGTTCAGTGCCGCTGCTGACGTAAGACGCTGCTGACGCGTGTCTGGTGTGTGTGTGTGTGTGTGTGTGTGTGTGTGTGTATTCCGGTTCTGTTGTGGATCCGCGTTCAGTGCCGCAGCTGACGTGTGTCTGGTGTGTGTGTGTGTGTGTGTGTGTGTGTGTGTTCTGGTTCTGTTGTGGATCCGCGTTCAGTGCCGCTGCTGACGTAAGACGCTGCTGACGTGTGTCTGGTGTGTGTGTGTGTGTGTGTGTGTGTGTGTGTGTGTGTGTGTGTGTGTGTGTGTGTGTGTGTGTGTGTATTCCGGTTCTGTTGTGGATCCGCGTTCAGTGCCGCAGCTGACGTGTGTCTGGTGTGTGTGTGTGTGTGTGTGTGTGTGTGTGTGTATTCTGGTTCTGTTGTGGATCCGCGTTCAGTGCCGCCGCTGACGTAAGACGCTGCTGACGTGTGTCTGGTGTGTGTGTGTGTGTGTATTCTGGTTCTGTTGTGGATCCGCGTTCAGTGCCGCCGCTGACGTAAGACGCTGCTGACGTGTGTCTGGTGTTTGTGTGTGTGTGTGTGTGTATGTGTGTGTGTGTGTGTATTCTGGTTCTGTTGTGGATCCACGTTCAGTGCCGCTGCTGACGTAAGACGCTGCTGACGTGTGTCTGGTGTGTGTGTGTGTGTGTGTGTGTGTATTCTGGTTCTGTTGTGGATCCGCGTTCAGTGCCGCCGCTGACGTAAGACGCTGCTGACGTGTGTCTGGTGTGTCTGGTGTGTGTGTGTGTGTGTGTGTGTATTCTGGTTCTGTTGTGGATCCGCGTTCAGTGCCGCCGCTGACGTAAGACGCTGCTGACGTGTGTCTGGTGTGTGTGTGTGTGTGTATTCCGGTTCTGTTGTGGATCTGCGTTCAGTGCCGCTGCTGACGTAAGACGCTGCTGACGTGTGTCTGGTGTGTGTTGTGTGTGTGTGTGTGTGTGTGTGACGTAAGACGCTGCTGACGTGTGTCTGGTGTGTGTGTGTGTGTGTGTGTGACGTAAGACGCTGCTGACGTGTGTCTGGTGTGTGTGTGTGTGTGTGTGTGTGTGTGTGTGTGACGTAAGACGCTGCTGACGTGTGTCTGGTGTGTGTGTGTGTGTGTGTCTGGTGCGCCCGAGCTTCGTTTACAGTCTGAGGGAGACGCACGCTGGAAACTAAACAATCTTCGCAAACATGTCTAAGGATTTCCACACAGAGGAAGACTTGCATTTTTTTGCCCAGCCATATTTATTTGAACCCGAATACACGGACGCACCAGACACACACACACACACACACACACACACACACACACACACACACCAGACACACGTCAGCAGGGTCTTACGTCAGCAGCGGCACTGAACGCGGATCCACAACAGAACCAGAAAAACACACACACACACACACACACACACCAGACACACGTCAGCAGCGTCTTACGTCAGCAGCGACACTGAACGCGGATCCACAACAGAACCAGAATACACACACACACACACACACACACACACACACACACCAGACACACGTCAGCAGCGTCTTACGTCAGCGGCGGCACTGAACGCGGATCCACAACAGAACCAGAATACACACACACACACCCCAGACACACGTCAGCAGCGTCTTACGTCAGCAGCGGCACTGAACGCGGATCCACAACAGAACCAGAATACACACACACACACACCAGACACACGTCAGCAGCGTCTTACGTCAGCAGCGGCACTGAACGCGGATCCACAACAGAACCAGAATACACACACACACACACCAGACACATGTCAGCAGCGTCTTACGTCAGCAGCGGCACTGAACGCGGATCCACAACAGAACCAGAATACACACACACACACACACACACACACACACACACACACACACACACCAGACACACGTCAGCAGCGTCTTACGTCAGCAGCGGCACTGAACGCGGATCCACAACAGAACCGGAAGACAATACAATGCTGAATAAAGTCGTAGTTTTTGTTATTTTTGGAACGAAATGTATTTTCGATGCTTCAACACATTCTAACTAACCCACTGATGTCACATGGACTACTTTGATGATGTCTTTATTTCCTTTCTGGACAAGGACAGTATACTGTACATACATTTTCAATGGAGGGACAGAAAGCTCTCGGACTAAATCTAAAATATCTTAAACTGTGTTCTGAAGATGAACGGAGGTCTGACGGGCTTGGGACGACATGAGGGAGAGGCATTAATGACATCATGTTTGGGTGAACTAACCCTATAATGATGAACGTCTATCCTTTATTCAGCCTGTTTAATGGGAGCGGGTGTTGTTTGTGTAATGGATGGGTGTGTGGGGTGTACAGGAAGTCGTTACTGTAAAAAAAAAGCCCCTTCTTTTTGTGCCCTTAGGGGAAGGGAAGCACCATCACTGTGTCACAGGTATGTCACTAAAACACGCGTCCGTCTGTCCTGTGTGTTGTCTGTGGATGTTGGTTGCAGTGGCAGCCGTGTCTCTGTGTACTGAACAACGGTCATTCTTTACAGACCGCGCTGGAAATGAGCAGCCATAAGACAATGCATACATTTCCTCGCCACTGGGAACAGTTACATGCCTTTTTGCACTTGGATCATGTCCTCTGGCTGTCTTTTATTGGCTCCCGAGATTATGACATCAGCGAGGCGTTTTTATTGCGCATCTTCAACTGTTCCGCCTCCCATTGGCAGTTTAAAGCCTGTTTGGAGATATTTTATGAAGGAGCCATTGCTCGGGGTGGATGTGATTTTAATATGTCTGGGTTTGTAGCAACGTTAATATTCTTTTGCAAAAGGTTGGTCCATTTACAACCGTATGAGAATAACAGTCGCTGTAAAAACACATGGTTTTCGGAGAACCTGTAAATGTTTTGTTTGCAGCATATATTTCATTGGACTATGCAATGAACATTTTTTATGAATTCTATAAATGCGACAGGTAAATGTCATGAAAACTGTCAGGAATGTGTCTGGGTGACTTTTTTTTTCATTGTGGTAGAACATTTTTATTGATTTTAATTTAAATAAATGTCACAACACAAAAATGTTAATGCTCCTTAAAGAGGCTTCATTCTCTTTATACAAAAAAACCCATTACTGGTGAAAAGTTTGGAATGATTAAAACATGACAATTGAATTAAAAACATTCTTTAATGTTTTTGAAAGAAGTCTTTTATGTTCATCAAAACTGCATTTATTTAACAGTAACATTGTGAAATATTATTACAATAACTGTTTTAAAATGTAAACTATAGAAGCAAAAATGTTTTCAACTTTCATCTATTATTAATAAGCACCAATAATAACTGAGCAGCAAATCATCATATTAGAATGATTTCTGAAGGATCATGTGACACTGAAGACTGGAGTAATGATGCTGAAAATACAGCTTTGATCACAGGAATAAATTACATTTTAAAATATATTCACATAGAAAACAGTTATTTTAAATTGTAATAATATTTCACAATTTTACTGTATTTTTGACCAAATAAACAGCCTTGGTGAGCAGAGGAGACATTGTCAAAAGCATAAACCAATCATAGCGACATCAAACTTTTGAATGGTAGTGTATCATTTTTGTTTGTTGTTATTGATTTTGGGATGAAAAATTATAATATATTTTATTATGTGTAATATAATACTTTTATAATATTTTATAATGTATAATATAATATTTTTATAGCATTTCCTCATGAGATTCATCCACATTTGCCTCTCTCTTGCTCTCTATCTCAGGTGTCGAACTGGTTCGGTAATAAACGTATTCGCTATAAGAAGAACATTGGTAAATTCCAGGAAGAGGCGAATCTGTACGCAGCGAAGACAGCGGTGACGGCGACTCAGGCCGTAGCGGCCGCTGTACACAACAGCCAGACCAACTCGCCCGCAACGCCCAGCTCTGGTACAAACACACACACACGCTCTATGGATGAGACCACCGGGGCTAGTTGTCACTAATGTTTTGAGTCCATGTGCACAAATACTTGTTTTCTTTAGTAGTAGTTTTGCATCTTGGTTTCAAATATAAACCTTTGCTGCCCAAATCAGTGGTATCCTTAAATTAATTGCCAATTATTTACAGGTAAATTACTTAAATTGCCCACTGTGACACATGTCCTGCTATTGGGGTCAACAAGTGTTAAATGAACTGTATCTTTTTTCCTAGGCAGTAAGAGTGGACATATTTAATAGCTTTTTGTAGCCAGGACGTTTAAGGTTTGTGTCTCTACAAAGAAAACAAACCCCTATGAAACATTCTCTTGTGTAAAGATTGTGACAACTTGCCCCACTCTCCCCTATATTCCACATACAGCAGATCTAGTCTAATTATTTGAAATTAGTAATGTAAGAGTTTAAATGGGTTCTGTTCCGTGTCAAACGTCTGTCATTTTCTCTTCAGGTTTTCAGATGAAAGATGAAGACTTTCAATTGGATGCAACAGAAGATAAAAACAATCTGTTAAACAACATTTTCACTGGTACGACTTGAAGACACTTCTGTGATGAGAATTACAGTGAACTTCCTCTGTCTCTGTGTTCATTTGTGTATGTGCATATACAGTGACCCCAAAAAACATCCATTTGGATAATTATTTTAACCCTGTAAAGCCTGACAAGCTTTTTCTTTTATTAAATGGAACGCTTTATTAAACCTTTAGACAAAAAAAAAAAAAAAAAAAGTTTAGTATCATAGAGTATCATATTTGATCCATCAGGCTTTTGTGGCTCATATACTGTAGTATGATATAGTGAGAACATGGAACTCATACTAGAGGATAAAATATACCTCAACTTCATTAAAAAATGGTAATTTTTTGCAAAATGGTGCAGATGGTGATATTTATAAGGCCAGAAAGTAAGATGAAATTCTGATCGCTTGTAATGTAAATCAACAGTACAGCAGACTACTTAAAAAACGTCAATATACAATAAAATGTCTTAGTAAGGTGATATTTAAATGCTTAGTTTTATTATCAAAGTGTAGTATTTTTAAAAACATATAATGCAATGCAATACAATGATGATTGAGTGATAAAAGTTCCTCAAAATCCTGATGGATCATATTTGATACTCACATCTTTTCTAACAAATAATGTATGGATAATCAAGTGAAGTTGCTTCAGTCCAGTTCGTGTCCATCTAGAAATATTACTAACAATAAAAAAGATAATCTTATGTTTATTTTATAAAAATCAGTGCAGATTTCACGGCAGAAAGACACGTGAACCAGGACCTGAAGGGGGCGTTTTTACAATTACTAACTAAAAGGCCTTTTACTTGCTAAACATGTATCAATCAGACGACAGAAGGCATGTGGTGCATTGTGTGCAACAGGTTTGATCATGTTGATAATTTGCAGGCCTTTTTGATACAGTAATATGATACATGCAGAGAAAAGATGTTCACAGACTCACTGTTCCTCCGTCTCTCTGCAGGGTCTTCGGGTTCGTATAGTTTGCCAGGTTCAGGAGACATGTTTATGAGCATGTCCAGTCTGAACGGGTCATACCAGCCGGCCCAGGTCCCCGTCCCAGCACAGACACAGGTCTCACACACACCAACGCAAGAGCACAATATATACTATAATGTATACTTAAATGTCTTTTATGCTCACCTATTTGATCAAAAATACAGTAATATTGTAAAATAACAACTGTTTTCTATTCGAATATATGATAAAAATGTAATTTATTCCTGTGATCAAAGCTGAATTTTCAGCATCATTACTCCAGTCTTCAGTGTCACATGATCCTTCAGAAATCACTCTAATATGCTGATTTGCAGCTTAAGAAACATTTATTGTTATCAATGTTGAAATCAGTCGTGCTGCTTTATACTTTTGTAGAAACTGTGATCATTTTTTTCAGGATTCTTAGAATGAATAGAAAGTTCAAAAGAACAATGAAATAATTTTTTTGTTGTAATATTATAAATGTCTTTACAGACACTTTTGATCAATTGAATATGTCCTACTAACCCAAACCTTTGAATGGTAGTGTGTATGTATATGAAATATGTGTCTAGAATACCAATAATATCACAGCCAGTCCTTCATTATTTCTCACCGCTTATGATCTCCTGTCCTGTCCTCCTCTCTTCCGCAGGGAGACTCCATACGTCACGCCATCGGTCAGTCGTTGGGTTACAGCGATGGTCTGCGGGGAAACCCACTTTACAGCCCTCATGGCTTGAAC